AGATATTTAAATAACAAAGAGCATAGAAAGCGAAGCACTCAACTAACAGTCTCTGCCCAACTCCATGTGGTCACTCTCTCGTAATAGTTCCTTTATTAATTGTCCAATGTTCCTATACCTAGCATCCACAAACTTATTCTTGGCTTGGTTTAGAAACTGCACTAGCAGTCTTCTTGTAATTGGTCCATATATGTCTGCTTCTTGATAGTTAATATTAGATAGGATGCCACCTATCCTTTGTATTAAAAACCGAATTTGATCCTGCTGTGTCTGACTCAAAAGTGAGTAGCCAGACTTGTGCTGTAATCCTTGCAGATTACAGTGAATGTAATTCAAGTGTTGCTTGTTGACAAATGCAGAGGAGTCTTCTCAATGTCTCCTTTGTTAGTGTGCGTGATGAACTCCTTCAGCTCTAGTGAAGGGCTGAGGGACATACTTAATGGTTTGTTCAGGTCCACTATGGAACCTGTCAATGTCCTCTTGGACAGTGTCTGTGATGGGGGTGTGGGGGCATGTACAGGAGTACAGATGAAAATACTGCTGCTGTTCTCCTGGGGTATCCCTAAGCATGGTCCTCCTGCTTTGCAGCCAAGGGGGGAATGGTCTTAAGGGAGCTGCACACTCTCTTTGGTCTCCTTCTGAAATAGAGCTGCTTACACTGGACTTGGTGCTGATTACTGTAGAGGAGGCTATTGGATCCTCTGCAATTTCTCCTGTTGCAGTCACATACTCAAGTGGAGAGTCTTCTCTCCAAGCCAGGACATTGATTCCTGCTTCTATTAGTCCTTCTGCAAGATCTAGAAAGTCAGGTCAATGCTGGTTGTCTTGGTATGTGGGGGGCGGTGGAAGATATGGTGGTGGTGGTGGTGAGTACTGGGGCACAGGTGTCCCAGTTGGCTCTACTGCCAGTGGTGAGAATGATGGTGTATGGGTCAAGTTGAAATCATTTGGGTTGCTGCCCGATTATTCCAACTGAGCCCTTTCAACTACTTCTGTGATCAAATCATTCTGAACCACAGCTAATATTAGCTCAGCTTCAGGCCCTCCTACTCTGTGCCAGAGTTCTTCTTCAGATTGGCTTCTGGCAATCTTGACTAGCTCTGGGAATTCTGTGACTCTTCACAAGAACCACTGAGTGGGAATGGGTTGGTGAGGTGATGACAGTATAGGCAAATTGCTTGCCTGGGTTTCTTCTGCTATGTTCAAATCCTGATCTCCTAATCTAATAGACTCCCAAAGAGTCTCCACTAATCCAATGTACTCCTGGAAGAGCTCTTCCTTGGCTGGCCTATTGAGGCCTCCAGCGGCAAGACTTGCTAGACATCCTTCGATGCAATTGCAATTATTTGGTAGGGGTCCCAAAGAATGGGAAATGGGATAGGGGGGATGGGGTATGAGCTTCTTGAAGGTCCTGGGCAAACTGAGAAGCATGTGACAACACTTTCCAGGTGGAGTGAGTTTATCTGTAAAACAAACAAGATGACCAAAAGAAGGATGTCAATGATGACAGTTGACAAATAGGATAGTTCAATCTTAATGTCAGGGTTTCATCCCTGACCCTAACCCTAACCCTAACACTCGCTTGTAATGTTAGTGGTTGCAAGAGGTAAGCAATGAGCTTGTCTTGAGAGCAGTTAACTCAGAGAAAGGGTTTGTGGTCAAGTAGATGAAGGTAGAATGAGTAAGATTGAACTGCCTCTCATCACTGCATTGCTCTAGTATTTATATATGAGGGACCAGACCCCTAATACTACTGGTAGTACGCCTAACACCTAGGCTAACTGATACTTGCAATATGCCATTGGCTATCTAAGACTACCTGGCGCATAAACCATTGCCCTGTCCTTATGTCTGGTCAGTAGTTCTACTGTGATGATTACTTGAATGGCTGTGTATGCTCCTAGTACAAATGGGGAAATCTCCATGTGAACATATGATAGCCCATTTGCCATGCTTCTGATAAGCTGAACACCTGACTACTAACATGTCACCATGCATAATGCTATCTTTATCTAGGTAGATATCTAATCGGATAAGATGTAGATCATCTAGATGCTTATAATAAGATAGACACTATGAAATTCTGTGACACCTGTGAAGGGACCTAGCGACTGAGGATCAGGAGTTTGACTTATGACTACTACTGACAAAGATACTGCTACGTGTAGGGCTGACATGTTACACTAGTACTAGACTTATAGGCTGAGCCACTGTAACTAACAGTGATTTAAGAATGACAACCGGATGAAGCAATGCTTCAGACTGAGACTGGAATAGACAACTAAGTCTATTACTGAAGGTGTCC